AAGGGGATGCAGTGACTTTGCTAACAAAAATAAAAGATCAAGGTGAAGAATCATGTGAACCCAAGAGTACCAGTAGTGAGTAATAAATATATTGTGCTGCACTTAGAGTGTGATTTCTCTGGGACATGCTCCTGAGCTCCCAGCTGCAAATCACACAATATGCGAGATTGATGAATTTATGAATATGTAATAGCACCAAAATGCAAACATTAGTAATTTCATAGAACTCCAAGGCATCAAAAGAAGCCTTAAGGGGGTTACACCATCACGTCTGGTATCTGATATCCTTCTTCAAACACCTGAAGTCCTTTAGATCTAGGTCCATCTCTTCATCATTTTTATTTAATTATAAGTTAATAATTGCTTCCAGAGGAAAGATTCCCTTAATTTGTGTTGAACATTAAAATAACCCACCCTTGAGGAATTATTGCTATGATATTAAACAGAAGAATGTGAATGGGGTTAGCAAATTAGGTCATTTACCATGGTGACAGCTATCCAAGATAACCATGAATTAAGGGAGAATGTTTTGGAACCCAGATGAGCTTCATCACTTGAAGTTCTGCTGTGTGATACAGTTCCTGCACTTGGTTTAATCTTGGACAGTTTTGGAGCCTTCCAGCCTGGCTCAGACTGTACCCATGTCGATTGACAGCAGTGGTATCAGTCAGATTTGGGCAGCCCTGTCTGGGCATGTTGGTCACTGTGCCCGCAGGTTAGTCTTGCTACCAGCAGCAGGGCTGGAGAGCTTCTTGTTCATTGACATCTTGGGGCAGGGGCTGTATTAGTTAATACACTCATTGTGCACTTTCCCAGTGCATGTTTCCTGAGATCTGTAACAATGTAAAAATGCTGCCAGAAATACTTAATGCTGAATCTTAATTTGAATGACATGTTCCCTGTCTGCAGTCTGTCATGTTCCTGTATGCAATACATTGATTTTTAAGCATGGTCAGTTAAAAACAGTTTTGTCATCCATGAGATCTTTCATTAAGAACCTTGTGCAATATGGTACATGTCCAGTGTCTGCATTTTCTAAGCAACTCTGTACCCTTCCAGTAACTTCACCAAATGAGCCACTTGAGTGTACATTTTAAGGACGTTTTCAGTTTAATTAGCACTGTTCAAAGACAAATCTCCATTAGGTTTGTGCATACATGGCAAAGAAAACTTAATCATTCACTGATTCATGTTTCATATAGTACTTGGAGTATTCAAGCTAATTATCTTCAGGTTCAGTCCTTTTGAAAAGGCCAAGAGGCAACATCCTTAAAACTCGCCGAGGAATCCCAGGGCAGAACTGCTTCATCCCCATGAACCACCCTGTCCTGCTGTCAAATAAGGAAGTGAGATTTCAGAAATATCAGCTTCCCAACTTGCAATTATGCTTGCTCTCTCACTCTTCCTGCTCCTTGAATGTGTGTTTTCTTTAAAAGCCTGGGCCAGGTTATTACCGTGGGCAGCAATCGAGCGCTTCCCTTGGTTGGCGGAGATGAAAAGATGTATTTTCTTTTGAGCCTGGCATTGTTCTGCAGTTGTGTGCATTTCACTGCCATTGTGTGGTTCCTCACCAAGTCAAAACAGAGCTCTTCTATCCCTGAGGACAAAGAACAAGCTGTTGTCGGGGGGAGGAATATCTACCAAATCGTAAATCTTTTCTCCTGCTCCTGTTTATTCTTCCTGCCATTCAAACCCATTTAGAGAATGACCAATTAACTCCAGACTCGCGGTGGAATCGGATGGGCCAGACCTCTCCTATCTGAGATGACACAGCCAAATCTCCAAATCCTTTCCAGTTGAATGCAGCATTTGCTTTTCCTTGCATTTTAGCTCCTAGTTCCCAAACTGATAGTCCAGTTGTCAACCAAATCGACCTTTTCTCTCATAAATGCACTGATCACCAACAATATTGTCACCCAAAGGGAAAATCTGCACCAAATTCATTTAGTTGTGCATCCAGTTCTTTATTATTGTGAGTAAAACTGTTTAATGATATTTGTCCTTCAGTAATTAATCTGCTAGCTGTACATTGCACATCACTGCATACTGAAATATACAGGAAGCAGGAGTTTTACAGATCACTTTTCTATGGTCAAAACATGCTGCAAAAGTAATAGTTTGTAAAATAACTCTAATCAGTGAAGAAAACACACTTTTGACTATGATATGGTAGCCACTAAGTAAAAAACCAATACAAACTGGGGGAAGGAAGAAAGATTCCAAAATTAAATGCTAGCTCTGAATTATTTAGCCATATTATAGTGTTGTAATTAACATCCATGCTGCATATACTTCCACTTCATTTTAAGACTTATCAATTCTTGACATGTGGAATTTGGAAGAACTAAAAGTAGTGACTCAATTACCCCCCAGGAATTTCTTTCTATTGCTTTATATTAACAAGTCATAAGGTAGGGAGTAAAGTAAGTTAATCCTTTTGCTTTGCAATCTCGTGCTGGTGTCTGAATGGCATCAAAATTCTACTTTGTGTCAAGTGGCAGCTCTGCAAAGAAATGGTGTGTTTCATCCTGATTTTACATGGTTAGGACAAGGAACTGCGTGGGCTTGTGTCCCTACATGAATAACATCTGTAGAAGAAGTGAGTTAAAAAGAAACCAACCAGGCCACGATCAGGCAGGTTCTGAAAGGCCCGGGTGCTAGAACTGAACTTTGCAAGCTGAAAAACTGTCGTCAGCTGAAAAAATGAACAACTTCACTTCTTCTCAGAACACTTTCCCTGTTTTTGCAGACTTGGGTGGGGGGTTTTGCCTCAGAAAGATCAATGGACACAAGGTGTATCTGGATCATCAGCTCCTTGTAGCAGTTGCTGTGACCTCCAGCAGCCAGGCTGGCTCGGTCCCTGCACTGCTGCCCCTCAGCCTTGTGAAAGGCATGAGATCCTCTAGGCTGGAGGAAGGAATTAATCTGATCTCTCCCAGACAGAACCTGCAGGATCATCAGTAGCACTGGGCCGTGGTTTTTACCCAAGGAAAAACAATATACAATTTGATTATTTCTTTTCTTGGTCACAAATGACTCAAACAGGAGGAACAGAATGATTCTAAAAACAGAGTATTATTCACCACTCCAATATCTGAAGAAATTCGCAGTCATAAAAAGGAAATACCATAAAGGGAGCACAAAATGGCTTAGCTGGGCTCTGAAAAACAACTGTCTCTGAAAAACAGTCTTTAAATTTGCCTAGATGTTGGTTTTTTTTCTGAATTTTTGAGCTCTCTGGCCTTTTGGGGGGAAAAGAATGTAAATGCCAAAAAAGAGCTGGACAAAAAAGTAAGCTTTGTATCCCATCTATGAGAAGCAGACGATGTGTGTCATGCTAGTTTTTACAGTCATAGTCTACAGTCTTCCACTGATTCAAATCCAAGTTGACAGTAGCACAATGCAGAGGTTTAACTGACAGCACACACAGCACATTTGCTGGTCATAACACCACAGTTTAATGACTGACGCATGTGGGAAGCTAATTCGGATTATTATTATTATTTTTTTCTTGAATGGGATAAATGAGCATCCAGTTAATACCAATCATGAATTCAAAGCCATGTGACAAAATCGATGCTACATACCCTGCTCTTGTTTTGCATATTCTGCAGATGGGGCTGCAGGAAAAAAAAGAGCCAGTTTTGTACACACATCCGGAGAGAAAGTTCATTCTGTTTTCGGACACATCCACCAGTGGCAGCTGAATGTACCCAGCTTGCTGCTGCTGTGTCCACAGACTAATTAGCCTTTCTCTGTTAAATAGCCTAAGAATTACAAATTGTATGCCTGTTTTGAGAAAAAGTACAGGTTGAACAAGCAGACGTAGTATAAATAAAATATTTATATAAAAATAGTCTCTTACAAAATATACTCTCTTATCCTATGGTTGATTTTTCCAAAAGATGGAAGTTTGTCTGGATTTTCTTATTTTTAGGCATATTCCAAACAGGATTTTATTAATGCTTCTGTCTTTAATGGAAGAAGAAGAAAAAAAAACAACAACAACCTGGTAAAGATTTGTAACCCCTACCACGTGACTTCTGTTCCAGACAACTAGCAGCAAACAGGTGGAAAAAAACCACAAAAACAACAAACAAACAAAAACGAACAACAACAAAAAAAAACCAACCCCAAAAAGCAATAACAACAACAAAAACCCCAAACAAAACCAACAGTGTGTGTTTGTGTATATACATATATATATATAAAGATGCCAGCTTTTGTACTTAAACATCTAGTACTGTAGAACGTATCCTGCAAGTCCAACTAATAGAAATATCCTAGTTAAGAATAATATATACAGCTCCAGTTTTCCCTTGCTGTTTCTACAAAATTATTCCACAAAGCCAGCTATCTACTTTAATTGCAGAATAGTTCCCAAAATATCGGTCAGAGTTCTTTTTAATTAAATAAATTAATATTAGTTTTATCTGAATAAATTGTTAAATATTGCTATTCTTATGCCCGAGTGTCCCGAGTCCCTGTGCTCAGCTCTGCAGCACACACACAAATAGGCAGATCAAGCAGTGTCCACAGAAAACATCAGCAGTTCGACTCGCTGCTCCCAGCGGTGCCAGGATGGGCAAGACCAGCAGGAGGTTCTCACAGGTGGAGGAGCCCAGATCTGTGTCATCCCCACGCTCCCACAGGCAGCTCGTGCTGGGGCACTGTCCATCCCAGCCTGGCAAAGCCCTTGGGGGAGGTTTCCTCCTCTACCCCTCCCTGCTCCTTAGACACTGAAGTTCTTGACCATCTCTTTTGCAAAGCAGGAGTTGCTGCCACGCTCAGAGATGTCTCTCTGGGTGGTGCCTCTTCACCAGGCAGTCAATGCTTCTTGCTTCAGAGGTGCAGATTAACCAAGATGATCCTTTTCTCTCTGCATTGTGTGTCAGGTGGCTCAGGGTGGGGTTGGTTTCTTTTTGCTTCTTGCCTGACTTTCCTAAGAGTCTGCCATGTGCATCCCCGGGAGCAGTGAAACATGAGGAGAACAGAGAGGGCTCCGCTCGTCAGCGCGTCCTCTGGGAGAGCAGGTCTTCCCTACAGCTTGTAGGCATGTTGAGTGCATGTGCAAATGTGTTGGTGGGCAGGGAGGTGTCACTTACAGGTGTAAACCTCTGTTCTCTCGCTGCACGTGTTGCATTTCACGTAGCAGCACCAGTGGAACTTGCAGTTGCACTGCCAGACCCGCGAGTACTGGTGCGTGTTGTAGCCGCGGCCGCAGCACATCAGGTCGCAGCCGTTGGACTGCTGGGCTGTCTTGTTGCACATCCTCCCCTGGGTCCCCACGCTGCCTGTGACAGGGTCTTCTTCACAATAATTGGGAGATTTCTCTATGTACACCAGGTCTGTATCCATGGGTTTGCGGTAGGAAAGGGGCTTCTTTATTTTGAGGAAGGTTGGGCGCTTGTTGCGACTCGCCCGCACCGGCTCCACCTGCACCGCCTCGTTGTACTTGTCCTTGAGGATGTAGCCCAGCTCCCTGAATTTAGGCAGGGTTGTCCAGCATGTTTTAGTGGTACAGGATCCCGACACCCCGTGGCACTTGCACTCTAACTTCATGTTTTCTTCCAGAATCTGTGTTTGGAAGAACAAAGGATGATGCATTAATACAAGTTGAGGCTCTTCAGGAAACACACGACAGGGTTATTTGATGCATTAATGCATATTGAATGGCAAGCATGGGCAGGCTTGCTCTCCAGCAGGAGTGGCCACCAGGTATAAGCCACATTCCCACCAAAGCTGTGGGTTTTGCTTGCCTGGTGATGCTGTTGTCCCAGATTACAAGCCCCCCCACCAGAGTCAGCTGAGCTCTGCCCCCAAAGCTGATCCCACATCTGCACTTTGAGTTAAGCAGCAAATGCAACTTGGCCTCATTTCACAGTCAATGGACCAAAGGCAGAATGGGACCCTCCTTAACCACAGCTTCTCTTCTCATCCATTTGCAGCACAGGTGTACAGTGCTTCAGATTGGTCTGGTGTTGCAGTTTTTGGCATATGGCAGTGAAATTAGGAACTGGCAGGAAATCACACCTTTACCTGAAAAATGAGACAAGCTGGTGCAAGGTGTGAACAAGCAGATAAACTCTATCACTGCTTAATCCTCCTGTTGGTCTGTCATTAGCAAACAGTGGAGAGTGGATGGTTATTAATTCCTACAGGCATCATCTGTTCTAAGTGTTGCAAGTTAATGCTCCAATTTGGAAATCTAAGTATTAGTTTGATAGAATGTAAACTTCAGTTCTTCACGCTTTCTGGAGGGTTTGAAATGTTTTGCCTCCTCTCATGTGATAATGGAGCATCAAAATATCTCAGCTCCTTCGCAAAAAAAACTCCCTAGGTCTGTCTTAAGAGCATGAAGGGTGAGAGTGAAGCTGAAGAATTGGTTTCATGTTTTGTCATCAGTTCTTGTTTAAAATTTCCTACCTCCTTAATACTGTAAAAGCATCTCAACACCATGGCTTGCTCCACCCTGTCCCATGTGCTCTTCTTTGTAGGGATCTCTCATGCTTATGCCCTGAGCTGTCACTACTTTCCTTTTGAAGATTACAACCTTCATCTTCCCTTCAACCTTCACATCCCTTGAAACTTGATCCTTCACCCTCCTGCTGTTGTTTACCAACCAGTCTTTGCAAGGAGAGCTGGAGACCAGCCTAGAACCTGCTGTCTGTCCTGAGCCCTGTGCTGACCTCACTGAGCAGCTACGTTGGGTTAATGCTAGCAAACATACCTCATTCCAGCCATTAATTTCCCTCTGGTCTCTGCTTGAAAGAGAACAGAATAACTTTGGTGATTACATTCTGCCCAACCTGGCAGACACCAGCAGTGGGAAGCCCAGCCAGGATTACCTGGGTTCAGGGAGTGGCCACATCATTTTTCCCCTGAGAAGCCCCAGTGATCACTGCAGCTCCAAACCTGGGCAGCCTTGAAGGCTGGAGGGAGGTCAGTGATACAGGTATATGAATTAACCCTTTACTACAACCTCCCTTCCCACTTCAGTTGTGGATGTTTGGAAAACTTACCCTGCAGACACCATCCCTGGCTGCTGCTGCCAATGGCAGCCTGCCCTGAAGGAGCTCAGGCCAGCCTGAAGGCTAGATGTGTGCTGGGACTGCAGGTCTAAAATCTCCACATGAACTGGGGTGGCCAGGAGAAAGAGCACGTCCTACACTGTGCAGGCAGCAGGTCCTGCCCAGCACACCACACTGGTGGAGGCAGCTCCATCCTGTCCTTGTCAGCCTTAAAGCAAGTAATTTAGAGACTGCAGGTAGCAGCTTATCCTTCTCACACCTTTTGGTCTGGAGGCTGTTCCTGTGTCACCTGGTGTGACAGCAATTGGGGTAGTTTGTAGCTGCTGCTTTACTCACTGCTCTTCCTCTGCCCCTTTGCAATGAAGGCAGGGATTTCAAAGGCAGTAAAATGTTAGGTAATAGGTTGGACGTCGTGATCTCTGAGGTCTTTTCCAGCCTCAATAGTTCTGTGATTCTGTGAAAATAGCCTCATTTTTATTTTAGTCTATGAGTGAAGTGTCAGCACGTGTGGGCTGAAGACAGGATGAAGACCCCTAAAAAGTATAGGCCCAAGGGTTGGGCAGATCTGAACTTCATATATATAAGGTCAGAGGTTGTGCTACTATTTTAAAATAGTATATTGTAATAGATGTTAGTATAGTATAGTAGCTAGATGTTAGTATAGTATATAGTAGTAGGTGTGAGTAATAGCTGTTCATGCTAATGATTATCTAATATATAATGACTGCCCTGAACCTCAGATGGGACAAACTTTTCTATTCAGAGCTACATCTTGACTTGCAGTTCTGCTCAAGCCTTGGCTCACGATTTGCATTATCTTGTTATCTTCAGTTTCTCTCTCAGCCACTGCATACTTCTTTTATTGCTCACTCATTCATAAGGTAGTACAGTTAGACAGATGAGGAGATGGAAAAGGAGTTATAGCACAGAAACCGGAAAAATAACATAAATTCTTTTAGCCTCATTTGTACCTTTTTTAAAGCTCTCTCTTCTTTCTTTTTTTTTTAACCTGAAACTAGCCAGGGATACATTTCTCAGCCTTAATTCAATCACTGCCCTTGTTCAAGTGGCTGCTCTTACCTCCTGGTGCCACGTTCAAACCTGCAACAAAACATTTCTCACTCGCCTTCCAGCAGGACCCACTGCATTGACTTGGGCCATTTCACAAAACACATCATGGCTTGGGGTCATCGACCCAGGTGGGGCTTTTTTCCTGAAGTGTAGTTAAATAGCCTCAACTGTCTGCTGGTTTGTTTCATTAACATCCCAGTTACAGCCGGTGATCTCTGAGAGGGTGAGTGGTGCCCTGGGAAGGTGCTGAGCAGCAGCTGGAGCAGCCAGGCAGCCTCGTGTCGTGTGTGGGTGTCCCACTCCAGGCCACATGAAGCCAACCAGAAGGAGCTGCTGGTGTCCTGGTCTCAGTGAGGCTGGGGATGAGCAGCTGGAGTAACAAGGTCTGGTTTTGTCTGAGGATGAGAAGTTTGAGCAATGCTAGCAGAGCCCAAGGGGTCCTCCTGAGGCAACCAAAAATGCCTGGAGGGGGACGGGAGGGGGCAGAAGGATGAGAGTGAGTTTTGTCTTTTCATGCTGTGCCACATTTATTGTTGTTACTTTTTTGTAGACAACACTTGCTAAGATGTCCTGGCTAACCCTGCCTTTGCTCTTTGCACTTGCTGGGGTTTCCAAGACTTTGTGCTATAATTGCCCCAACACATCTACCCAATTTGAGTCCTCTGTTCTCTGCCATTGAACTTCCCCTCCCAGTTCTGCCTGTCCTAACCCAGCCTCTCTCCCTTGGACTCACACCCCCTTTGTTGGGTCAGTTCTGGTTCTCATCTCCTCCTCAATGGTGCTGTCTTTCAGTGAGATGGTTTGCAACTGCAGCCAGAGATGAATTGACTCTACAGCCTTTAGAAAACAGGCTACATGTAACTTGAACTGCCTGTCCTCAGCAAAAGGAAAAAGCTGCAATGGTGATTTGATAGTTTCATTGCACTGTGATATGAGGTGCTTGGACTATTTGTTTTGCATTAAAATATGTAGACGTTGGCATTTTAATGCCATTCCATTGTTCTAGTAACCTCTAAAAAATCAGTGCTTTTAGAAATTCAGGATGGGAATTAAAAAGAGGAGGAAGAAAATAAAATAGGGGATTCTTTGGACAGGGACAGGGGTCCTCAGTCTCTCCTTTGGTTCCATTCTCCAGGAAAAGTGCTATACCACTGAAACAGTTGGTCTGTGTTAAAAACAGAATGTTTTTCACCTTTCAAGATCAGGATTTATTTCTTTGAAGGTATTAGCCAGCAGCTCACACTTCTTACATTAGATAAAAACTTTATATGTGTAATAGGCTGAATTTTCCTAAAAAGTAAGAGCCTGGAGGGTAGAAAATTTAAATCCTAGATCCTCTGCTTCTTACCAAATGACCATACCCAGCTCCGTCAGCCATGGAAAGTAAATCTGTATGCACCAGTGAGTGCTCTGAACTGGATTAAATGTGAACAAAGAGCTGGAGTTCTTTTAGCTTTGTCCACTTTTTCTTTGAGCTCCCACAGTAAACTGTCAGTACTTGTTTTTCTCTCTCTCTCTCTCCCCCTTGCCATTCGCCTCTGGGAAATAGTTTGTGTGAAGAGAACTGGTGCTGGCTCTCTCCAGTGATGTTATCTTAGATAGAGAACCTTTGGGCACTGCCATAAGGAGCTGAACATGCTTGTTCTTTGCCTTCTGTTTTGCAGAGAATGCAAAGGGTGGGTGATGTGAGGGTGGGAAGCTGAAGCTCTGGAGAGCCCTGCAGTGGGACCAGCAGGGCTGGCTGGAGCAACAGCCCTGGTTCCCAGTGCAACCAGTAAGAAGGGTGAGAGGTGAGGACCCTGGGTGGTGGGATGGGTGCTATTTCTGGGGCAAAGGGAGGGGCTGTCCTGTGGCTGGTGTGCTCAGAAACACTGGGCACCCTCCTGCAGTGGGTTTTCTCAGCTCAGTGTTACCCGTTAGTTGGTGGTTTCTACCTGCCTGGGCTTCCAGCATCTATAGTCATCTGACTTCTCAAACCTGTCTGCCAGGGCAGCCTGGGACCCTGCATGCCCACCCACCTGGGGTCAGGGGCTGCACTGCTAAAGCACTTGGTGCCAAAGCTCTCCTGAAAGACTCCCAGCATGAAGCACAGTGACTGTCACACCTCCAGTGCCTCTCCTCCCCAGCCTTCCCCACTGCCACTGGGCCCCACACGTGGCCAGCACCCCCAGGCTGAGCCCAGAGACTCTTCACTGCTCCCTCAGAGAGAGCTCAGTCTACATGCCAAGGCAGATGTAATTAGTGAGACAACAGAAACTGATTCCTATCCCACCAAGGCCATAATCTTTCCTAATTTTGTCTGACATCAGATCATCTGGGTCAGGAAATACCTGTCTCCTACATGTGCCTGTACACATGCCTGTGCTATAGGTCAAAGAAAACACAACTATTGGTAAAACAAGAGTGAATTTTTCACTCTGGAGAAGAACACAGCAGGGCCTGGAGAGTGGTCACCACGTTTCTGTGGGCTGGAGA